CCATAAATAAATAAATCAATAAATATATATATATATATATATATATGTACTAAAAGCCTATATAAGTAATGTCTGAGCGGCAACCATAAAAGGCTGAATGACAATCAAATTTAATAAAGTAATTTTCATGAACCTATAATTAAATGTGCATGCACCTGGAACCAATCTATGGTCCATTACAGTTGACGAATTGCATTATTTGGGGTATGAGTAACTCTTTAAAAGAACTTAAATGACATCATGAAACTTACTCATTGTCAATTATGGGTGAAGCAATACAATCACTATTAAAATCACCATAAATAAATAGATATCTATCTATCTATAAATAAATATAAATATATATATATATATATGTACTCAAAGCCTATATAAGTAATGTCTGAGCGGCAACCATAAAATGCTGGATGACAATCAAATTTAATAAAGTAATTTTCCTGAATCTATAATTAAATGTGCATGCACCTGGAACCAATCTATGGTGCAGCAGTTTACAAGGGAGGGAAATTTTCTCAATCGGCTCCGGAAGGCCTCGCCGATGGGGCTCATCGCCAGCACAACGTGGAGCTGTTCACGGACGCGCTGAATGAAGAAATTAAATAATGCCGCAGGTGATCCGTCCGTCTGACGGTTACGGTCACGGACTCTGTCAACCTGGCGCATCTTCTCGCAGACTTCCTGCTTTTCGTCAGTTGGATAGAGGTTGGGCACCTCGCCGGCATTCAGCAGGTTGTTGACGTCTTCCAAGAAGCTTTCTCGCTTAATCTGGCTATCGGTGAATAGGAAAACAGCATGATTGTCCGTCTCGGTGGCTTTGCGTAGGATTCGCTTAAGGTCGTCACGCCACTCATTTGTACCATAACTTTTAGTGATCTCCACCTAAAAATAGAAGGCTCATTATTATAAATTTGCCTTAAAGACTTTGTTGTGATGAAAATTAACAATTAGAAATATGAAGTATGAAGACCAAGATAGTGTGGCCCTCGGTATGGTTGCATTCTCTTGTCGAGTTGTAGAAGTGGGTTGACCTCATTTTCGCAATTTGGTCTTGTTTTCATGAAGACTTAGTTGAACGCACCTTGTCTAAAGTCCTC